AGACATGGGAACACTAGCTGTGAAAACAGTCATACCCTTAAGCTAACAGAGCAGGAGATAAAGTGGAATCATAAAAATTCAGTCAATCCAAAATAAAGGATGAAAAGAGAGGAAGGAGAACACTGGGCATATGGGACAAAGAGAAAATACACAGCAGGATAGAGGTTTCACCTAATCATGTAAGCGGTTGTATTAAATAGGGTCTGAATAGCCCCAAATGGAACTAAGGTTTGGTGGCCAGATATTTAAAAGCAAGTAAGTAAGTGAAAGTTACACACTGAGCAAGAAAGATTTTTTAATACTTTAAAAACACAAATAAGTTAAAAGTAAAAGGAAGAGACAGGAAATGCACATCTCTGTCATTCAGGGCCTTGTATTCTGTGAAGTTACCTTGAAGGCTGGGTGGATTCTCCTAGGTGAGATTATGCATGCACATGCCTTACATAGATTCTGATCTTTTTTTCATTCATTCTGTTTATTTTACGATGGAGAGAAGAAACTTCAGCAGTGCCAAGTGGCTGGCCTAGGTGGTTCCCAGACAGGTTCTGAGCTGGGATTCAGGCCCATCCAACTTGCCCCAGAACCAGAGCTGGTTCCCCAACCCCCGCCACCCTCTTGGCTGCTCTGAGAACTGAGACCAAAGGCAGAATCATCTGTTGTCCTCAGCTTGGAGGGCTACTTAATTCAGGCAACTTAAATTGTTAGCAACTCTGGAAGTGTGTAAACGTGACTGTGACAGCAGTGCAGGCATTGGTTTGGGAGTTTTGAGCCAATTGTAGCTGATAAGAGCGTGTCTTTCCCATTTTCTGAAATGCAAAACTTAATGGAAAAGTTTTATCTGGCTCACAATGGGTTCAGTCCATGGTCAGCTGGCTCCAAGGCAGGAACAACATGGTGGAGGAGCATAGCAAAGGAGATCTGCCCACCCCATTGGCAGCCAGAAAGCATAGAGAAGCAAAAAGCTGGGGACAAGAATGCACATTCCAGGTAACACCCCAGGTGACCCACTTCCAGCCAGGACCTGTTTCATAACAGCACAGTCAGCCATGCACTTCGCAGTGGATGAATCCACCTATGGGTGTAACATCCCATGATCCAGTCACTTTCCAAAAGTCCTGCCTATGCATAACTGAGACTTACAGGAGGTCTTTTAGATGTAAACCATACACAACATTTGAAAATAGGGAGTTTGCCAATAATGAACCTCAAACATGCTAACATAAATCCAAAGAAATTTGGAATGGCTATGTTAAGAATGATACTGAACAAACTAGAATTCATAAGAATATTGTTAGGAATGATAAAAAAGACAATTTCATAAGTGGTAAAGGGTCAGTTAATTAAAAGGGCATAACACCTTGAAATATTTAGGCATCAAATAATAGAGCTCAAAAAGTATAAGCAATTACAGTTAAAGCTACAGGAAGAAATCGGTAAATCCACAATTGCAATCAGAGATTTTGACATTTTTCTCAATAGCTGACAGAACAAGTAGACAGAAAATTGGTAAAAATACAAAATAACACTATAACCAATTTGAATTAATTGACATTTAAGGAACAAATGTTCCATCCAACAACATCAAAGTATGTGTTCCTTTTAAATGCACACAGAACAGTTCTGGGCTATAATATTTAAATCTCAATACATATAAAAAGATTTAAGTCACACAAACTACATTCCTTACCACAGTTGAATTAGAAATCAGTATCACAAATAATTACAAATATATATTTGAAGTTTTCAAATATTTGTAAACATCAAAATAATGCATGGAGTATTGAAGAAATAAAAATGATATTAGATTACATATTGTTATCTTCAGTGAAGTTGCTCAGATTACCAGATTTAAGAATGCAAGATTGATCAAACAATAAAAGAGAATAAAAAGTAATAATAAAAAAATTAGAAATGATACAGAGCTTTACTAAACAAGATGGTAGGAATTCAACAATGGTTGTTATATTGCATATTGTTGTCTTCAAATTAGTTGTTCAGATTACCAGTTAATTCCTATCATCTTGTTCTGAAATCCTGTATTATTTTTACTGTTTTTGTGCTGTTTTGTTTTTATCTTTGTTGTTATTTTGTTATTGTTCTTTTCTCTTTAAAAAATGATCTTAGAAAGCACTTGAAGCTGCATGAAATGAATATACAACTTATCAAAATTTGTGGGATGTCATGAATGCAGTCCTCTCTAAACATCTGTAGTCAAAAAACAAGGAAAAGTGTCAGATGAGTGGCATCAGCTTGTATCTGAAGTAACTAGAATAAAAAGAGCAAAGGGACCTTAAAGGGAGTAGAAAAGATCACTGCAGAAGTCAATATAACAAAAAACAATAGAGAAAGCCAATGAGACCAAAAGGTGGTCCTTTGAGATCAGTAATGAAACTAATAAACCTCTAGCAGACAGATTTTTTTTAAAAAGGGGGAACAAACACAAATTATTACAATCAGGAATAGCAGGTGACATTGCTGCAAACCCTACAGGAAAGTAAGGGATTGCTTAAAATGTTCGTGCAAATAAATTCAACAAATTAGATGAAATGTACATATTAAAATATTTCCTGAAAGACAAATTATCATATTTATCCAAGAAGAAATAAATAATCTGAATAGCCCATATCTATTAAAGAAATTCATCTTAAAAGTTTCCACAAAGAACATCCCAGTCTCAGATGATTTCATTGATGATTTATGTATGATAATTAGGAAAGAAAGTACAACAATTCTGGGAAATTCTTAGAAAATTGAGAAGAGAGAATACTTTCTCTTTTTCTGTATATCCAGCATTATAATACTAGACATCCCAAGAAAATAAAACCACACATAAATATGCCTCATAAATAGACATAAGAAATCTAAACAAAATTTTAGTAAATCAAATATGACAATAAATAAAAAGAATAATACACCAAGTAGGGCTTACTCTCGGAAAGCAAGTTTGGATTGACATTTGATAATCCATGCTGTTTGACTAAGAAATAATGTGACTGTTTCAGTAGTGTGGACATCAGTACCCGTTCCTGACTGAAGAGACTCAGACGGTGATTCTTCTGAGACGTTGCTCCTTTGAGTTCATAAAGGGCTCTGGGAAGAGGCACAGATAATCTGTATTCCACTCCTACAGCAAAATACCTGCTCTGGGAAGAGGCACAGATAATCTTCCCCTGAGATCAGGAACAGGTGGGATGTTTGCTGCCCTCACTTCTGTTCAGTACTGAAATTCTAGCCAGGCTGGGTGAGGTAAGAAACGTGTGCAGATTGGAAAGGAAGGAGTAAAACTTTATAGTTACAAACAGCATGACCTCATATAGAAAACCCTAAGGAAAGCGCACACACGCGTGTGCACACACACACATGCACACGCACACACACACACACCTAGAGCTAGAAGTTTCAGCAAGGTTGAAGATACAAAATCAATATAAAAAATCAGCTGTATTTCCGTGTATAGTCGGCTCTCCATAGCTACAGTTTCCATGTCTGTGGCTTCAGTCAATCATGGGTCCAAAATATTTGCAAAATAATTGGATCTGTGCTGAGTGGGTATAGATGCTTTCTTGTCACCATTCCCTAAACCACATAGTGTAATATCTGGTTGCCTGGTACATTAGTCACTTTCTTATTGCTGGGACAAATTACCCAACATCCACAAGTTAAAGGAGGATAGATTTATTTTAGCTCACAGTTTGTAGAGGTTTCAGTCTTTGTCAGCTGGCTCCGAGGCAAGATGACATGGCAGAGGGAACTAGGAGAGGAGAAGTGGAGAATGGCAGGCCAGGAAGAAAACAGCAAGCAGCAAACCTGCTTTCCTTCTTTTTGCCTTATAGTCCATTAAGGCTACAGGCCTATTGGTTGGTGTCAGTACACCGTGGACCTTCCCACAGTCACACTATGTTAAACTAACCAGTGAACTAACAGTGACCACACCCTTAATCCTCCTGTGGTTGTCACCAGCCAGAGCTCTCTCATGCTTTTGGCCCTAGCTAAGCAAGGTCTTGAGCCCAGTATGGAAAACAAGGGTCAGGACCAACCAGACCCAGCTGTAGACTAAGACCAGCTGGTGTGCAGTGCTGCTGCATAACCCAGGGCCATCTCAAGGCTTCTCTGAGATGCTTTCCCAGATTTTACTTTCATGGGCATTTTAACCAGCATGGTTTTAAAAATCTTGGGAATGCATTGGTTTGTCATAGCACAGAAAACCAGTTAGAAGGTGCTGTAGTGTAGACATGATTTGTCCCCCAAGGGTCCACATGTGTGTGATGTTGGTGGGTCTTTTAAGAGGTGGGGCTAGGTGGGGGTCACTAGTAGTCGCAGGGTGCTGGGAAGGTGTGATAGAAGGGGAAGGTATGATGCTCAACATGAGTCCTGCTCTCACAGTGTTCCCTGCATCTGGCTCAGGGAAGTGATTAAATTGGTTCTCATGGGATTCTGAGGGAGTTAAGAGCAAGCCTGGCCCCTACTCCCACTCTGGGCTCCATCTCACCATGGGCACTCTCTCCCCTGCACACTCTCTCACCATTGTGATGGATCCTTCCCCATGATGGGTCCTCCCCTATGATGGGTCCTCCACCATAGTAGATCCTCCTCCTAGATGGATCTGCCATGACATCTTTATGATACGTGAGTTCATGGAGGCTCTGGGCCCTTAAGCCTCCAGGTGTGCAGGCTCACTGAGCCCAGCCTCAGGTATTTTGCTGTAGGAGTGGAAGCATGCTGATCCACAGGTCATCAGAGAAACTGGGAATGAGCCCTTACTTAGCATCCTGGGAAACTTAGCTCCCCCCAGGAAGGGCTGTTGCGAGTGGGGCCAAGGCTGGTCACTGGGCTTTGAAGAGAGTGCATCTTTGCAGTTGCCCAGCCTCAGTTTCTTCTCGAGCAGGAGGACCTGTGCTGGTGGCCAGGTCCAGAAGAGACAACACTGAGAAGAGGGGTGCTGGGTGCACAGCAGCCTGCAGACTAATCATCTACCCATTGTTTCTCCACACCTCCCCCAGCAACCCACTCCTCTACCCAGGCCCAGGATCGACCAACGGCCACCGTGACGCCCCTGCGCACTCAGAGCTCCCCGTCGCGCCTGCCTGCCACCAGCCTCAGGCTCCACTCCGTGGTGTCCCCACAGCATGGCCATCAGTCCCTGGTTCAGACAAGTCCCCGGCCAGCCATCCCCCTCACCTCTGCTGCATCGGCCATCACGCCACCCAATGTCAGCACCACCAGCCTCAGTGGGGATGTCGGCGTGGGTTCTGGCAGTGCCCTGTCCACATCCAGTCCCCCTGGCACAGGGTGCAGACTGGAGGATAAGAGAGGTGAGAAGGTAAGTGGACATCCTGGGTACCCTTGGCACCAGATGCCAGTGGTGCCTTCAGTGGAGGCCTGAGTGAGGGCATCGAGTTCCTCCCTCAGCTGCACCAGGCCTGAGACAGGCAGAGGCCAGACCGAGGAAGGCAGCTGGCTGGAGGAGCCAGGCGGGACCAACATGGGGCAGCCACGGGTTTCAAGCAAATCAGAAAACAGCATTCCCTCCTCCACAGAACTTAATGCCCTCTGTGGAGAAATCAGTGTAACACACTCATTTTGTTAGAACAAGATCCTTACCGCCATGTGCTGGAAAGCTGTAGCAGCGAGAATCAAATCTGTGTGAACAGCACCCCTCCCTTGAATGTGTCGTTCTTGCACAGTGCATAGCCTATTCAACCATATGGGACAGGCTGCTTCCTAAGAAGACATGAGAAGACAGCAGGGTGCCAACCCAGTCGTTGGCATGGACAGCACTTTCAGCTTTGCTTTCAGCGGTGGTGGGTGCTGGGCTGGTTTCATAAAGGAAAGAGTCCAGCAGCTGACCAACCAGTTGGACACCAGACCAGCCAGGATTAGACTCTACATTTCTAAATTAGTGTGTCCAACAGAAATAGGGTGCTGGCCACAGATTTAATGAACATTTTCCAGTGTCCACATTTTTTAAAAGTAAAATTTTAAAATTAAAGATGAAATTCATTTCAATAGCCTATTCCCATTCAGCACAATGTCCAAACTATTCTTGCTTCAATATGTAATCTATATAAAAATTACTAGCGAGCTGTTGACCTTTCCTTTTCCACACTATGTCTCCGCTAGCTGTGTGGAGCATGTGGGCAGTCCTGCAGTGCCCAGCCACATGCCACACAGTCATGTGGGGTACCTCTCACGTGAGCTGCCTGGGGACCCTTCTGCCTCAGTTTCCACCTTTCCAAGGCTCTGCTGCTGTCCCATGCAGAACTGGTTTGGACTGGGGGGTTGGCAGGGCAGCTGGAGTTAGTGTCAGGTGAGGGCCACACTCTTCTCCCAGGCCTTGCCACGCTCAGTGTTGTTGGCTCCAGGCCTCTGTCCCCTCGGGGTGGGTGGCTTTCCTCATAGTCCCTTCACAGTGGTTCCTGGCCTCAGCACCTGCTGCCCCATCCTGTCCCGTGTGACACCCTTCTCATGCTCACAGGTGAGGAGGGGCCTGTGTCAAGGTCTCTGACACTGCAGGAGTGAGATGGCTGCTCTGGGCTCCTGTCTGCCTGAAGATCGGCTGGGCCCATCCATCTTGGGTCTGGTTCTGAGACACAGCCCATGTGTTGGAGGCAGTGAAGGGCTCTGCCCTTGCCCTGGCCCCTTGGGCACTTTTCCTGATCACTGAGGAAAGCAAGCCAGGCTTCCAGAGAGGGCTGTGGTCCCACTCAAATGCAGGTTGTTCTTTGCTCCCAAACGCCCTCTCCAGGTTGTGGATATTACTGGCTTCCACATGACTGGTTCTAAGTGGGTTCTGTGTCTTGGAGTCAGGCATGTGGGACTTGGGTGTGTAGGGTTTAGTCAGGAGCCATGGCATCCCCACCACTACCCTCTAAGCACACAGCCAACAAAATCTAAGTAAGCTGTGGAGGCTCCAGGTGCAATCAGAGTCCCTCTGCTGACAGCTTGTGTAGAGTCCAGGAACCCACAGGGTGTCCTCTTCCTCTGGTGACCCCCACACCACCATAGCAGGAACACCTGGGCCAGCACTGGCCTGCACCAGCAAGCTTGGGGCTGAGTGCGACTTGGGGCAGCATGGAGAGCAGGCCCCGTGTGCCTCGGCCAGCCTCAGGGGAACACTGCCCTTCCAAACTCAAACAGGACAGCGCAGTCTGCAAGGTTGCCTGCTCCTGTTGTTCGTCTGTGCTCCCAGTCCAGCTTTTCCTGACTCACGGCAAGGTATACTGCATTCACAGTTGCCATCTGCAGCTTAGGAGCTGAGAGGATGCTGGGGAGCTCAGACACAGGCAGCCCCAGCCCCCACCCACCCATGACCAGCTGGACAGGCTACTGACTGTGGGCACACAGTGGCCACTTCAGGTCTCCTGAGCAACCCCGTCACACACGTGCTCCTGTATGGTTATGGTGAAAGCCGTGTTTGAAAGCACTTGGCAGTCTCCAGGAGCTTCTCTTGCTGAATTTCCTTCAGGAAGAGACGGTGGGCTCCAGCTCTGCTGTTCAGTGAGGCAGAGCCTCATGCCACATGGCTTCTCGGTGCTGAGCCCAGCAGGGTGGGTCGGGGCCCTTCCAGCTTGTGCCAAAGAGAGCTGGCATGGGTGGGGCCCCAGCTCACAGTGGGAAGGGAGTGATTTTCCTGGGAGCAGGGAAGGGTGGTGCTCTGGCACTGCCAGTTATAAAGAGGATGAGGCCAAGGCCCAGGTCTCTGTTGGGTGGTGCCTGTGGTGGTGGAGGCCCAGGGAGGCTGTCCTGGAGGCTGGTCCTCTTCTCTTATCCCCATGGTACATGGACCTTTAGTCCTGCGGCCTTGGTCTTGACCTCAGCCCTTGTCTCAGGTTTGCACACTGCTCTGTAGTCCTAGGCCTGAGCAGAGTTCCCTCCGGGCCTGGCATGGCATCCCCAGGTGTCGGGATGCTCTCCAGCCTGACTCGCTGATGCCCCAGGCCCTGCTTCTCTACCCTGTGCCTTGGCTGCCATGCCCAGAGTGCTATCTACCTGCCAGCACAGGTCAGCAGTGGCACTGAGAGCCTCCTGGAGGCCATGCTTGGTGGAGGGTAGATTGAGCTTAGGCTGGGTTAGGGCTGGTGCTGACCTGCAATTCACTCAGAGCTCGCATCACAGAGGACTTTTCATCACCCAGGTTGTCTGGGTTGACTGGGGTCTTTCTGCTTGGGGATGCATTGCTTTGGTGTTTCTGGGTAGAAGAGGAGACCCCAGAGACAGTCATGGTCTGCAGATGCTACAGCAGGTCAGCTCCTGGGCAGCTCCCCATGGAAGGAGGTGGGTCCATGCCTTTGAAGAGGGTCTGGATACTGTTTTCAGGATGATCTTTGTGGTAACTTGAAAAGAGGGTAGGTGTGTAGGATGGAAGTTACCCCCTTTGCACTTAAAAGATGAATGTTGTGCTTGAAACCACCATGCTGTTCCAACCGTTTTGTCCACTGGTGATGGCTTTGCGTTGTTGGGGCACATCAGCCCCAGATGATACAGATCAACCACCCCTCGGGGATCATCATGGAAAAGGAGGCTGCTGCACCTCTCACCCTGAATCTAGTGCCCTCCCTGCTCCCTTGCATGCCCTACCCTGGCTTGGAGGGAGGCAGAGTCTGCCCAGATCTGGCATAGGGAAGCAGTGGATGGCAGTAGACGGACCTACCTGTGGGAGCAGAAACCTCGGGAAGATTCTAGTAGCAGGGGGACAGGTGGGAGGACCTTTGGCTGACAACAGCCTGAGCAGAGGTTAGTCTGGGCCAGAGAGAGGTGCCCTGGTGGATGGGGACTTGAGGTCCCTCTGGAAGGCTCCTTGCTGCTCTGCCTGGTTCCTGGCAGGAGGGAGGAGGCATGGTGATGGGAGGAGGCTGGCAAGTGCAATCCTCTGACGGGAACCTCCTATCTCTTTTTCTCGATGGCCAGCTCTGCCTTATGCCAGCTCAGTCACAAGTGCCTGGCACCCACCTCGTGTTATCCTGGGTGCTGACGCTTGTGGGGGTGTGTGCTCTTTCCTCTGATCTCTGTGCAGCCTTCCTCTAACCCCAGCTTCCAGAAGACCATCTCTTGGACTTAGCCCCACATCCCTACTTTTGTCAGGTGGGACAAAGGAATGCAGTGGGCTGGGGTGGGTCAGTGTTAGAACAGGTCAGTGCATGGGCACACAGCCAGTGCGGCACCCTGGGGTTGTGTGTGCTGGGCTGGGGTGGAAAACTCCCTAAAAGTCTGAGTCCCTGGCCCATAGCCCCTGAGCAAGGCGTCTGGTGATATCTGGAAACAGAAGTTTCCACTCCCATGACACACCTGGAGTTTTGTTTAAAATGCAAAATATTAATAATAATGAGCACCATCTTATATATCATGTGCCTTTCAGTGTAGATATATGTGCCACAAGTTACAAGCAAGTGTGTGATGTGCATTTTCCAGGAGCTGGGGGTAGGTAAAGCAGAGAGGCTCGCTGATAGGCTCCTCCCACTCATCCTCTTGCCTCCTGAGTTCCTGACCCTGAGCTGCTGGGAAGAGTGAATTAGTTAATCTCACAAGTGCATAGCATAGTATTCAGGACAAAATATTAGAAATTTACTCAGAATTCGATAGCTGACTGAGGCTCCCAGATAAATTATGAGGCAGACACAGAGTGAAACTTCTAGCCCTGAGGCTTCTATAAAAGATCAAAAGAGATTTGACTTTGCAGTTTTAGGAGATAAAGTGCTTATCCTCACCAAACTGGGAGTTGTCAGGTTACTCAAAAATGAATGCTAACCAGGGGAGCAGCCGCTTGTGACGCGTTTATTCGTCTCCCCAACCGTGGCAGGAGCTGCTCCTAGGTCCTTGTTTCTCTGTTGACCTGGGGACACATGTAGGAAAGGAGTTTAAGGTCTTGGGTTTATTCTGACAATGGAAAGAGCTGCAGAAAACTGTCTTCATCAGAAATGTAGCTTCAGGGGCTGGAGATTTAGCTCAGCGGCGCAGCACCTGCCTGGCAAGCGCAAGATCGTGAGTTTGATTCCTGGTACCTGAAAAAAACAAAACCAAACAAACAAACAAAAAAGAAGTGTAGCTTTAACTGCAAAGGATTGAACCAAAGTCATCTTGTAAATAGTAAAAACCCCTAGAAATGGAGTCACATGGACAGCAATGAGGATTTTTGTTATTCCAGGGGGAATAGCTAGTAACTAGTAATTCATCAGATGTGAAAGCAACAGCTAATAACCAGTAACTGCTTGGTGGGGAGCAATAACCAGTACCCAGTAACTCCTCTGAGCTGAGGTGATGACTAGTAACTAGTAACTTCTCGGAAGTGGACAGTGACTAGTACCAGTAACTCCTGGGAGATTGGCAGTGACCAGTAACCGGTAACCCCTCAGTGGGAAGAGCAATAACTAGTACCCAGTAACTCCTCTGAGGCAGAGGCTATGAGAGGTACCCAGTAACTCCTAGGATGTGGGTGGTGACTCGGGATGCCAAGCTGTACCTGTAGTCACAGGTCATGGTGAGTGGTGCCCCTCCATTTCTACCCTGTTTCTGGACCAGGGATCCCACCTCAGGAAACAGCAGCAGACTCTGTGCCGTAGCTGAGCACTCACAATCTTCTGCAGCCTTGCCCACCCTGCAGGTACTATTGCTTGGCTGGCCCTGCAGTTGTCCTTGCAAACGCATCACATGGGCCCCCTTCCCTTGGCCCGTGTTTTAGGAAACAGGGTGCATGATGAGACCGCGAATTCTGTGAGCATGAACTCCTCACCGCATGCTTTGGCTGTGAAGTGAAGAACAATGCTGTGTGGATACTGCCACAAGCATGCAGAATAGCAGGGGAGAGCGCACAGTCAGACTGCAGCCTGTTTCCCTCAGAGTGGCGAGGGGAATGCACAGTCAGACTGGCACTGGCCTCTGCAGCCTCCTATTCCTGCTGTTTGCTCCTTGGTCCTTTGTTACAAACTGTCTCTTTCCAGGGCAGTATTTTTGAAGATATTTTAATGTTTGAAATACCCAGTGGCTCTGAACACAATTTTCTGTCTCTTTTAATTAGCTTGTTAACTTCTTCCTCTTTATCCATTATAGATCTTCTCTACTCTGCCCATCTGAAAATGCTTTGCATATTTATATTGTTCTAAACCTCTGCTCTTCCCAAATCTGTTTTCAAGCAGAGCTAGAGATGTGCCCTTTTTCCATTAAAATTTCAGCAGTGCATAGCTTTTAATTATCCTTTCCCTTCTCCAACAGGAAGGCTTCCAAACATAAAATAATAACCCAAAAGCTTCCAAGTGTAACTTGCTGCCTCGAGCCAGACAACAAGAGGTCTCGTATTGCCTGGGGGCATTTGTTTCCTTTGCTGCTCAGAGCTGCTTGGAGTCTCCAGCACTGTTGGTCCAGTCTTCTGCATTTCAGGCCTCAGGGGCTCCTGACTGTGCCTGGCCCCTGGCACATGCACTGGGGGTGATTCTGTGCTCCCTTCCTGAGCTGGTGGTGTGTAGCTAGAGATGGCCTCCGGGAGTCGCCTGACCCTCTCTAAACTCAGCTTGTGTCCATAGTGTGCTGCTGAGTTGGCCAAAACATGATGCTACTCAACAGACTGCTAGAGAGTGAGCACTAGGGTTGGGCTTGGTAGGGTCAAGACTGGAAGCCACACGGCAGACAGCTGGACATGCTGTGCCTTGTCCTGACTGCTGTCCCCGAGCCACTGTCCTCGGCCCTCCTCCTGTGCCTGTACCCATCCACAGGCCCGCCGTCCCTGCTCAGCTGACCCAGCTTTTTCTAAGCACTGCCCTAGGCCACAACAGGTCCCCATGCCCTGCCTAGGACACCGTGGGGCCTGGAAGCCTCCTGTCCCCTCAGCTGGCTACCAGGCCCCATGGTGCACTGTCCACACCTGCTCCTGCCCTGGGTACTTCGCGAAAATGTCTATACCTGCTTTTTCCTACATCTGTTCCTTTAGACCTCCCGACCCTCCCCTGGACAACCTGTGTCACCCACTGGCCCCAGCTGTCCCTGCTATGGAGTCAAGGCCTGCCCCAGGATTCCCCTTATCTTACCATCACCTTCAAAACAGATTGCAACTTTTCTTGTTCATTTACCTTCTTAAATGGAAAAGAAATACGTGTGTAGTTAATAAGGCAAAGGCACAAAAACATAACGTAGTGAGTGTTTTTAATGCACGCAAAAGCTGAAACACAGCTGCCCCTTCCCAGGGCCTTGTCTGTGTTCCTGGTCACTGAGGGTCAGCGCAGGTCTGAACCTCTAACTGTGACCACTCTTGGGTCTCAGCTCAGGAAAGTGTCTTGTGTGTCTGGCAGTAAAAATGTGTGAGCAGTCCTTTATTCTCAAAGCAGATGAGGTTTTGGCCTCCCTCCCAGCGCTATAAGCACCTTGGCCATTGGCTTATACAGTGGGCTTGGTTCTCTGCAGACTAAGGATCCTGGACACCAGGCCTGAGCTATGCAGAGCGAGTCCGGTGAGGAAGGTAGGAGAGGAGGACATCCGTCTGTGCCTCACAGTCCAGGGGGCCTGTAGTCCAAGCAGGCTCTGCAGTGGCTGTTATCCGTCCCATGGCTGTTCCAGACTTCTGCTCCCTGCCGTGGATCCCCACAGAACTTTCACTGACCATCAGAGCCTGAACCCCGGTGAGACAGGGAAATTCCCAGATTTGGGACAACCACGTTACCAGAGCCCGTCTGTGTGGTGTGCATGCTGTCTCTCCAGCTCACATGTGCTCACCCCCCCATGCTCCTACATGTGCAGACACATGTGTGCATGCACACTTACATGCTCACCCCCCCAACACACATGCACCCAGCCTCTAGCAGATGCTATGGTGCTCTGCCCTCACAATCCCGTGTCGACCGTGACACCCTGGGCCCTGCAGAAGGCTGGACCCGCTCATACTCTGCTAGGCTTATGGACTCAGCAAAGACCTGAGTGGCACACAGGAGGGTGTGCCCAGCGACCCTGCCTGCTTCCCTCTGGGCTGTCTTAGCACCTGGCCCTTGGACATCAGTCCAAAGCTACTCTAGCCACATTGCCTTCAGAACCTAGAGCCAACATGTGGCTAATGCCCACTGCAGGGTGGGAGGGTCGCCCCTGAGACCTGGGGAGCAACAGCAGCAGGAGAGGGGCCTTGAGTCTCCAAGACAAGGCTGCAAGGCCCTGGGACTGCTCAGTGGCACACGCCAAGGCTGCATGGCTATGAGCGAGGCCCTTCAGGTTCTCTTCTGTACATGAGGAACCATGGTCCTTGTGTCCTGAGCAGCTCTTTGAGCAGGGCAGCCACCTGCAGGGCAGGGATTTACCTGGGAAATGCCCCAAGCATGTCCATGGAGGTGCCAAGGAGCAGGACCCCCTCCATGCAGGAGTGAGAGCACTAGCAGGGCTGCCCTTGGCTGGGTCCAGTGCCCTGCCAGCCCTGCACCCTCTCCCTGGCATAGGCAGTGCCCAGGGCCTTTGCAGCCTGTGTCCGGGTGGGGAAGCAGCAGGAAGTCAATAGCTGCCCGGATTTTACAGGCAGAGGAGCCTGGGTGCATCCTGCCGGGGGAGCTTGAGTCACGACGCCCTGCACAGGCACCAGTCCCCGGGCCTCACAGCCCTGTGCTTTCCTTAGATGTGTGGTGTTAGCCCGACCTGACAGAAAGCCGTCCGGGCTCTTCAGGGCAGCTGTGGGGAACACCCACCAGGACATGCATGGGGTTGCAACTGGGCCAAGCCTCTGCGAAAATGGGGAAGACTGCGGCTGAATGTCCTCCTAAGGCAGGCCCAGTCTGCCTGCCCAGGCCTCATAGTCTGTGAAACACTTCTGTCTGGCTTGGAGGAAGGAGGAAGATGAGGCCACCACCTCACCTGTCTCCTTCTCACCAGCTCTGTGAGATCATCTTCAGGTTCTTCATGAGGAGCACTAAGTGCTTAGTGCCACCCTTTGTGTCCCCCCAGAAAGAGAAGAAGAGTGGGCTCCTGAAGCTCCTGGCCGGGGCATCCACCAGGAGGAAGTCACGCTCCCCACCGTCCTTCTCCCCAACCCACGACCCTCCAGTGGCCACAGACACCTCGCTGCTGGGCGCCATGGGCCCTGATGTGTCCTCCCTGTCTGTCCACGGCAGGGCAGGCTCCTGCCCCATTGAGAGCGAGATGCGGGGGGCCATGGGACTGGAGCCACTGCACAGGAAGACGGGCTCCTTGGATCTGAACTTCTGCTCCTCCCCTGCCCGGCAGGCTGCTCTCTCCATGGCCGCCGTCCGCCCCGAGCCCAAGCCGCTGCCCAGGGAGAGGTAAGGTTGTGCGGGCTGCATCCTCTGTGCCATGCGCTGGGCACCAAGGTCTGGAACCCTTCTTGGTACAGGGGAATGGGGCTTAGTCCACCTAGCACCCCTCATCACCCAGCCACTTGGCTCCAAGGAGGGTTGCGCCTGGGCCTTGAGGAATCTGGGACCTGGAGCTGATGTCAAGTTCCCAGCCCATTTGGTTCCTGCATTTGGAATTGCAAGGGACTCATCAGGAAGTTTGTCAGGACCAGTATGGGACTGAGGGACTGGGAAATCAGGTAATGGGGGGACTGTCCCCACCCAGGGACCAAGATTAGACACCTGAACTGAGCCTCATCCTGCGGTGACATCTTAAAATTAAAAGACGTCTCCTCGGAATTGGCTCAGAGGGCATATAGCCCACTAGGGCGAACCATCAAAATTGCCAGTTCTCATCCATGTTTTTACCCAAACCAGCAGCTTCACATCAATTCAGACTTGCTTTACAGATCTGGAAACTGGGGCATGACTGCAGGCACCTGAGATTTACAGAAGTCAAAGCTCTTGTCTGGCTGGGAGGCTCTACGTATTTCAGTGTCTGTCCTGAAGGCTCCCAGGAAGGTGGCAGCATGGTAGAGATGTGATGACAAACCCACTGAGGGGCAGGGATGGTGCCCTGCTCAGCTGTTGGGCCACCACTGACACAGCAGAGCACAAGGGACCAGCTGAAAAGACATCCTGACCCTACGGCAGCTGCAGCTGCAGGCACTGGGCACGTTCCAGGCAGGTGGGACTCACAGATGGCGGTGAATATTGCAGACACTGTGCGTACAGCATACACCACACACACCTGTACTATACACACACCATACAGCATGCACACACTGTGTACCACACACTCTCTGTACTATGCACACACCATATACCACACACA